AGTCAAACTGCTGGATGAGATCCACCAACAGCTGTCAACTGCACACCCAGGGAAGACAAAGACCAAGCAGCTCCTGAAGGAACGCTATTACTGGGAAAGTTGGAGCCATGATGTAGAATGCTATGTGGACAACTGCATGACTGTTACAGACCTAGCCACATCAGTCTCACGTGACTATGCGGGGAGTCAAGGCAGAATCATTGGATGATATATTATGATGGAAATGCAGAAGGGGACAAGGATCCTAGCTGATATTCAAAGGAGAAGTCACATGATCTCCTACCATCTGTCGACCATGAATGGTATACAGAATGGTATACACTACCATATCTCCTACCACAGAGGGTATACAGAATGGTATATTGTGACCATGGTCCTACCACAGATGGTATATGAAATGGTAGGAAGTGAAGGATATATAAGGACACTCATTCCTGTACTTAGTTGAGTTCTTCATGATTGACTTCATCAATAAAGCATTGGTTACCTTTCTAGTTCAGACTCATCAGCACTAAAACCAACAGCTAAGTATACATACTTAGTTGGCCTTGTTTCTCTACTTCGTCACCTTATTTGGATTACTTGTTTACAGAGCCTGGCTGGGGCGATATACCAAGCAGCGCATTCTTTATGGAGCCTTACTGGGGCGAGATACCACGCGGCGCATTATGACTTAGACCTGGAGGGTCATTATCGATATAATGACGACGACGAAGGACACTCAGGTGAGTGCCCCAACTGAGACTTAACTAACTAGAACCTTAGGTTACGATACGAAGAGAAGCTAGGTTGTGACAGTGTGAAGCTGAAGCTCTCAACTGCTGACCACCCACAAACAGATGGACAGACAGAGAATGCAAACCAGATCATTGAACAGCACTTACGCCCATTTGTGAATCATTATCAGGATGACTGGTCAGAAAAGCTCCCCATGATAGACTTTGCTGGTGCACTATTGGTGGGTGAGTCCACAGAGACTTCTCCTTTCCTCATTGACAGTGGCTACACCCCCAGGACATCTTTTGACTGGATATCAAACCTTAATGGAACAGTTACAGAGGCAAATGCCCAGCAACAACTACAACAATTACAAGAGACATGGGACTGGGTGCAAGAATGAATCCACACTGCCCAGGCACGCCAACAGCGGAATGCAAATTGCTCAAGGCAGGAAGTGGATTTCAATGTAGATGACATGATAATGATATCAACAAAGAACTGGAACACAGGCCATCCAAGCAAGAAGCTTGACTATCAGTGGGTGGGCCCTTTCCAGATCCTTGCAAAGGAAGGAAATGCGTTCCACATTGACCTGCCAGCCTCTATCAAGGTCCACCCAGTTATCAATCCAGAGCACCTCCGCAGGGCCTCCACATCTGAACCCCTTCCTGGCCAGCATGCAGACAAACCACCGCCAATCACTGTCAACAACCAAGATGAATGGGAAGTGGAGGAGATCCTTGCCTCCTGACTGAGATACCGAAAACTGCAGTACTGGGTGAAGTGGATCAGTTATGATGATGACCTGAACTGGTACCCTGCCTGAGACTTCAAGAACAGCCCGGTAAAGCTGCAGGTCTTCCATGCAGCGAACCCAGAGGCACCAGGGCCACCCCGTCGATTGCTTGACTGGCTCCGCGCAGCAGAAGATGAGGAGTTCCTGGATGACCACCGGGATGATGATTATCCAGTTTCGAAGGACTGAGGGCAGCCCTTCATCGGGAGGAGGGGGTAATGTCACGGAGCATAGACATTCACTGAGCATGGACAGTCACTGAGCCTCGCTTAAACCCTTCGCACACATTAGATAGCTCGTCGCCGGCAGGCCTGCCTCTTTCCTTTTCTCTCCTCATGTTAGAATTTTGTCAGATAATCTACCAATATACTCATATTGCTCGGGACCGTCACATATAGATTGCCCCGGACTAGCTTGGTTTTAAGAAGCATGCAGTTCTTATAAAAATAGCATCATATTTATATTCTTTACTGTAGACGCCGAATGTCTAATTCTCCAACTTTAACTTTCAAGACTTTGAATATTAGTTAGTATGGCCCAATACCATCCCACAGATAGCTGGGATTACTTACAACCCATTTAAGGTATCCATTATCGTTCTTAATATGGTGATCTAAGTTGATTTTCTGTAGTTCATCGAAGTTTGGATCGGACCTGGACGACACGGCAATCAACCAAGTGCCACTGAATTCGCGATTCAGATAGATGTCAAAGGCAGATTGACTGGATGCGTCGACCTCGCGACCGTATTCCCGGAGGCTGAACGAGCCTGATGTATAATTAGCGATATCCATTTGGGAAGTTGAGACGATATCTAGGGATAGGATAGCTTACCATTATCATTGAAAATGACGAATTTATCTAGGTTGATGCTGGTATCATTACATTCACCATCCTGCCTCTTAGCGGAGCCGTAGAGAGTGATTGAGCCGTCTGAGACTTCAAGGCGGACATCGTAACAAGTCTTGGTGAAGGACATTTTGGTTGATTTGGAGGGAAACTGGAAATAAGGAGACTTGAGTGAGTTGGATGAGACCATGATCAGAGGGAAGTTTCAATGTTTATATAACATTTACGCCTCCCACGCTGTCGTCAGCTGCGCATTGCAGAGGGCCCACAAAGTGTTATAAGTGGAATTGATAAACCATTTCAGCTGACCATTTCAGCTGAGTTATAGTGTCATTGGAGATTATAATGGCCATTGGCAACCAATCATTTCGATTCTTGATGCAGAGGCCCGCTGCGGCTGAGGATTTGTACAGTTGTCAAACGCCATAATATTGCAGAAGAGTGTCAAGTGGCTGCCTGAGTGATGAGGGGTATTGCAGGTTGGCATTTTTGGATGACGTTGAGTACCAGATGGCATTGAACTGCTTTTGAGCAAATATTCATGTACATAATTCTGACTAGACCTGGACATGGTGTTGAACCTGGCATATGCCTGAGGCGTCAGCATTTACCATCACCCACTATTATTGGATCGCTCTCGCGAGCTACACCACACTCTTTAGATAGTGGACTTCCCTGATTCTGGTTCTTCATACCGATCAGGATCCTGTATGATTACCGGATTGTTCCATAGTACAACTCTATTTGTCCATATAGCTTCATAGCAGTCTCTTTCTCTCTCAATCCTCGGATCCGATAGCATCGCTGCCGGATTATCTGCAGAACTGACCGTACCGCTCTACACATGGGTACCCATTTGGGTACGGGTCTTGTACCCATACCCAAGGGTACATTTATACCCAAGTCTACACAATTTTCCTGCATAAAAATTCTTAGTCACTAGTGTGTATTTTTCTCTGTTCCTATCCCGTCACAGCGTCAATGATTATCATACAAGCTAATAATCTCTCTCTTTCTTACCTACCATCTATAATATTACAAGAAGAAAGCTATTGTCACGGGCTCGGAATAGCAGATAATGATGAATCGACGTTCCTATCTAAACTATTGTAGCCATCGACGAGAATATCGAATATGGGGAAGAAGAAGAAAAGGAAATCTATCTAGGCGATGAACGGTCTTTATACACATTTGTGTGGTGCGGCTTAAGCCCTTGTTTGCCCATATTGCTTGTATGGCATCGTTTGATATGTTGGCGCTGTTTGTCTGGCGTTGAGCCGTTGAGCCGTCACAGAGGGGGGCTATATCTGGCTAAAGAGGAGGCCATTTTCAGCATTGCATTGGTCATCAGTTTGGAACAGAGAGAAGGCTCACTGAGGTTGAGTGCAATCATTAGTTACTGCAGGCTGGTGACTAAACAATTGCTTTGCGGGTGCAGAATAGTGGTGTGAAGCATGTGGTGAGATGTTAAAGCAGCGGCTTGCTGCTGAGTGTTATGGGTGGAAATGCGGCCGTAAACGGCCTCAGAAGTGATCATTTTCGGCGTTATTTTCACAGGTCCTCACATTCTATGTGTAAATCAACAAACTGTTGCCCGTTTTGCCAGAGCTTAGGTCTGATTCCCCCAATACCCTTGTTTACCTTCTCCAGCGCTGCTTCCTGACCCGAGGTCAAGCCACCAGGAAGCTCCATTTTTTCTTCCAACTCTTCCTTCTCATCAAGGAGGTGCAGCTCAAGCTGCAAGATCTCTTCATACTCCTGTACCACTAGCCTCCATGCTCGGATCTGCTCTTTTTCTCTCTGCTTGGTTTTCTCGGAGGTGAATGATTTGTTGATTGCTCGTATGGGCTTAACTAGGTTCTGGAATCCCCATCGGTGGAGAAAGCGTTCGAGGCACCACAGGGGATTGATGCGTCTTCTGATGGCGACGAATAGAGGTAGCGCGAAAAGACCTATATAGATAAGGTCCATTTTCTCGTTTGATCGGCTAGGGCGAACGAGGTGGAAACGTGGAGAGTAGTAATTTAGAGTAGATGAGAAGAGAAATGGAGAGGAAGTAAATAACAGACGATGGTGGATGTAGAGGGGGAAGAAGATAGGGCTGGTCAGCAAGTTAGGGGCATTCCATATTAGGCTTAGCGTGACAGTATGTACCAATGATAGTTACCGTACATTTCGGCTTCAGGCAGATCAAGAATTCTACCCCTTCTTTTTTTTAAACCATAATACCAACCACCAACATAATTTTTTCACTTTCGTATCATCGAATACAGGATGCTTCTTACACGTATAAAGGTGATCACAAAACAAGAATCAGGATGTGGAGCGGCATCGCAGATTCCGGTGATATTTACATGGGCCGGCATGAAGTTGTCAACACTATATACGCATCATTTCTTATAAAAATATATATCGTACATTTCGAATGATTGATGGGAAATAAGGCAGGTTACTAAGAGAGCTCGCTAAGGATTTTTGTTCCCTCCTCCGCACCAGCAATGCCCATCTCCTTCCCGCTCAACCTGAACCGTAACGTCCATGTTCTTTTCTCGTAGAAAGTCAATAGTCCGTTGCCGTACATCTTCAAGATCTGCTCCTCGTGATGCAATAACGTGAATCACACCTAAGACGTGCGGGTTGTGGCTGTCATGGTCGTGGTCATGGTCGTGGTCGTGGTGGTCGTGGTGGTCGTGATCGGCACAATGGCTATGATGGCTATGGCTATGGCTATGACCATGACCATGATCGTGACCGTGATCATGACTATGGCTGTGGCTGTGACTGTGGCTATGACTATGTCCATGATCATGATCATGGTGATGGTGGCCGTGGTCATCGCCAGAAGCATTGGTATCGTCCAGCCAGAATTTGGGCACAGTGTACCCCACGACACCCCGTAGATCACTAACGCCACCAAGGGTATCACGGAGGTTGTATTCCACGTCCGCCGGAAGGGTAAGGAGTAGTGATTTGGCAGTACTAGTAACCAGAGGGACCGCCGACGCAAAGATTAATATGGCGATTAAACAGGACGCGATGGGATCGTATCCTGCCCAGCCGGAGTAATGCACGAGAATGGTCGATATCACCACGGCCACTGAACCAAGGGTATCAGCGAGAATATGGAGGAAGATACCATGCATGTTCTCGTTCCCGTGAGAATGTCCATGGCCGTGGTCATGTCCATGATGTGCGTGTCCGTGCTCAAACGCCATGATACCGACCAAGTTGACGAGAAGGCCAGCAAAACTGACCACTAGAAGTTCACCGATTCGGTGCATCTGACTACCAGAGGACAATCGTTCTACTGCTTCGTAGATGATCTCAATACTGATGATCCTGCGACACTGTTAGCAATGTGACAGGGAATGTGACATTGGAGAACCTACATGAGAAAGATACCATTGGCAAAGCCGGACAGAGTGTCCACTTTTCCGTATCCATAAGGAAACCTCGAGTTCGGTGGCCATTTACTCATGACGGCGGCACAGAGACCAACGACAAGCGCAAGACAATCGAAGAACATGTGGATGCTATCACTCAGAAGTCCCAGAGACCCAGTCAAAAAGCCGTAAGACAGCTGAACCATCATGAAACCGAAATTCAAACTGGACCCATATTAGCACTTAGCGTTCAACTAGGGAGCGTATCACGTACGTCATGAAGTAGAAGATTCGACGAGAGTCGCGTTCTTTGAGGATGCTGTACAAAAGAGGATACGGCTCGCAAAAATGAAGAATTGTTTTAGTCACCCTCGAAGGCTCCTTGTGGGAATGCGAGTGCCCATGATGGTGGTGATGGTGGGTGTGATTGTGCGAATGCGCCTCAAGTCGTAAGTGTCTATCATCGAACCGAGCTGTAAGAACAGACACTGCAGCTATGACACAACGCGAAACGTAGACGGTAAAGAGGTCATTTTGGAAAGATGGCGAACAGAACAATGATGCGGCGCCTGCTCCGACGGCATGCCCAAGCTTCTGCGGAGACCGTATGCCAGAGGACGACGAGTATAAGAAAGACACAGCGAACGCGCCTGTGGTAAGTCCAAAGTAAATCAGATCTATCCCTCCTGGAGACGGTATGCCGGAGACGATCACTGTTGCCAGCGCCAGTAATACTCCGGAAAGCAGGTTTACCAGGGCATTGTCCGAGAGAGTGTCCGATGGTAAACCCGCTTCAGAAGACTTTCTTGGGGATAGTGGATCGGGGGTAATTTCGGAAGTAGATCCCGGGAGATCGACAGCAAATGGCGGGCGAATGACGAAAACAGCGACAAGCAAAGCCACATAGCCCATGAATGGCTGCTCATCCAGACTCGAGCCCGTTCCAAACAAGTTGAAGAGAACTACGATTGCCAGGAGACCGATAGTAAGCTTCTTCTGTCCAAACCGCTCTTGCAAGCTGTTCGAAGCGACCGTTGGGATACCGGATGCGAATGCGAGGGATAGCGCAAATGCGACAAGGAATCCGCCAATTCCCAATCCTGCATAGACTGGTAGGCCAATGGAGCATGCTCGTATGAATGCGCTGCTGGCAATGCTGCCGCTGAGCTTGGGTAATGCGGCGATTGACAATTCCTGACCCTTCCGAGCTGCTTCACCGCACCCCAATAGCACTAATATACCAGCCGTTAAAGCACAGGCCTTGCTTCCAATTCCCTCCAAGTATGCGCTGGCCGTTATCTCATCAACATCGTCGACTGGTGACTCGAGTGTCGTTGACTGTGCGTATTGCGTAGAGAACCAGGATAGAGCGATCCAAGGAAGGGCGATAAGGAAACCTGTCAAAATCTCATTACTGCGAGTTGTTAGACGATTCATATCCTCTTGTGTTCAGCTCAACAAGACGTTTGACTTACCCCCTGCTCGTTTCAGGCTCAACTAACAAAGCTGGTGTGTCCGGCTCATGATTTGGTTCCATTCGATGATCTTCAAATACAGTAGTCACCGGGGAAGGCGTCCACTGGTCGTAATGCACGGAGCTTTGTGAACGGGAATGATGGTGGCCATGCCATGATGGATGCGAAGCATGGCTGTTGGAGTATGCGGTACCAACTACGGGCTGCGGAGACTGCGGTTGAACCGGAGGCAATGGCGAAGGCACGGCAATAGGGTTAGGGACCTGCGAGTAGCGTGTTGATCGCGAATGGCCACGGCTGCGACTGTGTCCATGTCCTGCCCTGGAGGCGGGGGGATTGGCATCCGCACTGGACACGGGTGTCCCCGTTGACATTGTCCCTTAGTCGTGAAATCGGCGCCTTAGCACCAATGTCAGGTCAATCCGAAGCGTCAATTTCGTGAAAGGAAAGGAGGCGACGTGGTCAAAGAAGTCGACTGGAGGCGTTCAGCCAAGACCGGGGGATAGTCGGGGAGCTTCAGCAGGTCAATGCAGACGACCGACCAGACGATTGCGACCAAAGAAACGGCATAGCGTTAAAGGGAACACGCTTGGGATAAGAATCGCAATTGCTAGACGACCGCACTGATCTCTAAAAGGATACTGCGAATTAAGACTGGTGGCAGAAAATACAGCGCTCGTGGAGGAGTTTCGAGGTCATGTCAAGAGATAACAGGGGGCGGGGCACGTGATCGACAGGTCGAGGACCGTGGGATCTGCGGAGACTGATACAAACTCCGACACGATAACAGTAATGGACGTCTCTATGGAACGAAATAGTTAGTTTTGGCAATTCAGTCATGATCAAGAGCCCAGAGTGGTGAAGCTGGACTTAGAATTATACCCAACATGATTGAGGTCCTTATCAGTCTCGCGTTCTATGCGTCCACGGCGACCACGTTCCTGATCCTCCTACTCCCATCACAATACAAACCCAGACAAGCGTCAGATTCGAAGCAAAATGCATCACCCGAGCCCAAAACAAGGATTCAGATCCTGGTACTGGGGGACGTTGGCCGCAGCCCACGTATGCAGTACCATGCGCTAAGCGTTGCCAAACACGGTGGTCAAGTCGATATCATTGGGTATCATGGTGAGCTCCGGATCTATGCTCCATAACCTAAATCCATTAGCATGCTAATTATTGGATGTAGAGTCAGAACTTCATCCCGACATATCCTCTAGCCCACGAATTACCATCGTCCCAATTCCTCCGCACCCCGCATTCCTACAAACTAGCAACAAGCTCCTCTTCCTCTTCTTCGCGCCGTTGAAAGTCATATTCCAGGTCCTCAGCTTATGGAGATGCCTCGCATACCGAACCGAACCGGCCAAGTGGCTCCTTGTTCAGAACCCCCCGTCGATTCCCACACTCGCGATTGCGTCTCTCGTCCGCTTCCTCCGTCACACGCATCTGGTCGTGGATTGGCATAACTTTGGATACTCGATACTCGCGCTGAAGCTAGGGGGTTCTCATCCGGTGGTTCGGTTTTCGAAATGGTTTGAGAGGGTATTTTGCAATTATGCCACGGCACATCTCTGTGTCACGGAAGCTATGACATCCGTCTTGAAAAAGGATTTCGCCCTGGAAGCTCCCATCTTGCCTCTACACGATCGGCCGGCCAGTCATCTACAGCCCATCCCCGATACGCAAGTGCGGCAGGAATTCATCAACTCTCTACCGGAGACAGCCTCTGCGAAGTCTGCTTTAGGAACCGAAGATTTCCGGGTTCTGGTTAGTTCGACATCCTGGACTCCAGACGAAGACTTTTCACTCCTCATCGATGCACTCTGCGAATACTCCAAGTTGGCGACTACGACTAAACCATCACTACCTCCAATCCTCGCCATCATCACCGGCAAAGGTCCCCAAAAAGAAATGTACCTGAAGAAGATATCCGATCTCGAGAAAGCCGGACACCTCCAGAAAGTCAGCATCCGCACCGCCTGGCTGAGTACAGAAAACTACGCCAAACTCCTCGCATCCGCTTCGCTGGGGGTTAGTCTACACACGAGCAGCAGTGGAGTCGACCTCCCTATGAAAGTCGTCGATATGTTCGGAGCTGGGTTGCCGGTTGTGGGCTGGAACCGCTTCGAGGCCTGGCCGGAGCTAGTGATGGAGGGTGTCAATGGGAGCGGATTCGGGAGCGTGGGCGAGCTTGTAGAACAGCTCGTGGATCTCTTTGGGGATTCGGCGAAACTAGAGAAGCTTCGTGCTGGTGCGCTTCAGGAAAGTGGGCGTCGTTGGGATGATGAGTGGGATCCCGTAGCTGGAAAGCTTCTAGGTTTATTATGAAAAAGAAAGCATTCCGCGTGTAGTCAAATCATATTCAATCGTGGTATCACCAACGTAAAAGCAGCACGCTATGGCCGAGATTTCCCACCGCAGTAAATACAAACATCGAACGCATCACAGAGCGTCTGGCACGTCGAGCGAACATCCTCATCATAGTGGGAACCGAGGAGATCGCCATCTAGATATTCAGTTCCGCAATCAGAGCAGAACTTCGAGACTCCTGGTTCCTGGATGGATAGGAATGTCAAAGTGCATCGAGCTAAGATGCAGTTAGTTTATTACATAAGCAAGTAAAGAGGGTGAGGGGATTGTCGCGACATACCGAAAACATGGCCATTCGCGCATTGCGACTCCTGCACCGAGTTTAACGCAATACTTGCGTCGCAGATATCACATTGCTCGAAGATTTCCTTGCCTGGTGGTTCTAACGTCTCATGGGACTTCGGTTCGACGACGCTCAAACGGGACATTTCATCACGGAGATCTAGACCCGTGAGTGTCACTAACCACTCCAATGATTCTCGGGCACGGGCGAGAAGTGCCTCGTTTTTACAGTCGAGAATAACACAGCGCACTGCAGCGTAGATCACCTTCTTGGACAGTGCACTGTAGCCGTCGGGTCTCTGATCGGCATGTAGTATGTATCCTAGAACAGCTTCACGCTTTTCGCGCTGCAGTTCTGCTGTCTGGTCTGCGGGTAGCTGGCTAATGGCGACTGCGCTTTCTTCCTCGCTCTGTTTGTCTAGTGGGATAAAGACAACCGTGGTACGCTCTTCTGCGGCAGTGCGGTACTCGATCATATCCTTAGGATGCACGGTGAAAGCGACTGCAAGATGGTCGTTGTGACATGCCAAACCCCAGGTCCTCCCGATGACCATGCCGCCAAGATCGCGGTCGATATCGAATTGGTCGGTGTAGTCGTCAATTGCAGCTTTCCATGGCGGGAGAAAAAAGGGAGTATGATCTGAAAGGCCGTTGAATACTTGCGCCGCTCCGTAGCCTCCGATTGTGCTTAGGTAGAGCGCAGACTGTTGGTCTCTTTCGTTTGATGTGCTGAACATTCCTGATTATCGTCAGTCATAGAACTAGATATCATGCCAATAGCCATACCGCTAATCGGTTCCCAGTGTCTCGATTCGTCCGTCTGTAATCCGGTAACGGTGTTTTCATGGAATGGCCATTCTTGCGTTTGTATCTCGGTGCTTTCAATATCGCCTGTGAGGTATCGAGCAGCGGAAACAGACACGACAGCAAGCCCGCCGAAAATACCAGCAGCGAGCAGTACCTCTTGGGATGCTTCCTGGAGGATGGTAAGTGGAAGGTCAAGAATATGGTTTTGATACCTACAGTATATAACCACTGGAAAGGGCCCGTGTAGTGGCGATCATAGCATATCCCGGAAAGTCCGGTAAGTTCCGTAGTTTTAGCGCTTGTTTTGTGACGAGAATCTGATTTAGTGGTATCATTTTCATGCGTCAACTTCACATCCAATTTCACAACCCTCAGTTTCGTGCCGTAAAGGACAGCCACATTGCTAGCCACAGAGTAGGTATTCTGTTGCGTCCCAGACGTTTGAAATAGCCATGGACCACAAGAGAGGTTTGAAGCTTTGATTCGAGACTTGAGCGTCGTAGAGAATACAGACCCAGGATGGATCATGGGATAGTTACCCGCCAGGTCACCTAGCGCAGTAATACTTAATAGCTTGAGCACATAGGAACTTGTAGGGTTGGGTTCCGGTTTAGATCTTTGCGTCCGTAGGAGTATCACCTCATTATCATCGTTCGTTGCTGCTAGCAACTGCACGCCCCAGCGCGTTTCAGCATCTGGTACCGAGTATGGTGTACTGGGCTTCTCCGAACGCGGGGCTTTGATGGGTGGACACCATGAGAAGCTGCGTATCGTCGATTTGCGTAGTTTCGGGCCTTCCTCCTGGACCAGAGGTTCGAAATATGACTTCAAGGCATCATTTACAATTGCAACCCGCGTCCATTTCCCTAGACCAACTGGTTCGTAAAACGAGAGCATCAAATTCGATGTCAGTACGCTAAGGACACACCGTCGGTGTCTTCCAAGTCCCGGAGGAGACCATTTCAGGCCGACAATTGTACTATTGGACTGTTCTGCCCCGAGTGAGAACGTTTGACGGTCTTGTGGATAGATCACGGGCCATTCGCTGGCGGTGAAAAGGTTGGTTCGGAAACGGGAGAAATGCCATTGGCCTCCAGCCGTTCCGGTATCATTTGCTGTCTGCCGCTCAGCGGCACTTCGTGGCGTCTGTATTCTCGTTAGTCTCAGGGCTGTTCGTGATTCGGTAAACTATTGTAGGGTCACAAACTAGGATGTGGACATATTCCCCAGCAGCCACTGCCAATTCTCCGTCATCCGACCACGAAAGGCAATCGTAACAAGAAGGAAAAATTCGAAGAGTGACAGGACTCAACATGGTCGAGTGTTAATAGATATCCCCATCTGGCGTTGTATGTTTATCGAGCAGAATTCCGTTCCGATGTCTCGTTCCTTTTCGGTTGCCTTTCTTGGTTAGTCGCAATCACGTGGATCCACTCACCGTAGATGATGTCATGTGATTGGCTAGCCAAAATCTATAACATACCAGAGGTATTACACGTTTGAAACACGCTTACACAATGAGCACCACGGGCATCAAGAAAAGAATTGCCCCCGCTACCCAGGCGCATTATCGCCTGCGCTCTACTAAACTGCGAAAGGAAAAAGGACCCAACCTGCCCAATGGAGTGGCGGACGCCATCATGCGCGAGGCCTCAGAGGCCCATGAGACCCCGACTGTGCCTCCCCTCGACCCCGCCCATCAACCAGTACAGATAGGACCAGAGACACCACAGCAGGCTCAACACTTTCCTAGCCTAGCCCCTGAGAACCAATACACGGGCCCACTGCCAGCGCAGGACACCCCCCCGGCATCCCCCACCCATGACCCCCCCCAGAGCCAACTGAGCCTCGAACTCCACAACCATATCACTGCTGCAGTGACGTCGCGCACAGCACAGATCAAGTCCACAGGTGATGAAGTCCTTGAACTTGTCTCAGGGATCAGCCAGAAGATTGCCAATTGGGAAGAGAAGGGTTTGGAAGGAGCGGCCTCCCTAGGCAGAGACGTCAGGACACTAGTTCTCAATTTCAGCAAGAACCTGGCAGATGGACACCCT